GGGGGGAGACGGGATTGGCGGGGGAGCGGGGCGGCGAGGATTCCAAACTCAACTGGGTCGAAGAAGGCACGAATCGGAGCAGCAATGCAGCTGCCGTGGCGGAGCAACGCAACTGTCTTTCGCGTCGATGCGAAGGTGACACTGCACCGGCCTTTTGTCTGGGAGCGACGCAAGGGAAAAGACCCTTGGATCCTCATGCGGAGCCCGTTTTAACAGTCTCGGACGGCACCGGCAGCCGAATCGTCGCCCCCCTTGGCATCAACTCCCACCTCGGCACCAGTTCTCCCCTCACCCGATCCTGGCCCTTAGCCGACGGATCGACGGCCCAAACTTTCCCGGGATTCGAATCGTCGCCCGCTGGGCAATGATTCTCACCGCGGCACCTGTTTTCCCCGCACTCGATCCTGGCCCTCGGCCGACGGATCGACGGCCCAGATTTTCCCAGGATTCGAAACGTCGGTCCCGCGACACTGATCCCCCCGCGGCACGGGGTCCCGAACCCACACCCCACAGGCCGCATTCCCCCGCAGGCCTTCCACATAAAGTATAAATAGTGGTGTGGGCCCACCATCTCCCATTTCTGCAAGTTCGTCGAGAGCAACGGAGCGTTGCGGAGGTTCGCGAAGTGTCCGAAGACGGCGGAGCGCTGGCTCGCACATCGGAGGCTCTCGCAGAAGGCAACGGAGATCTCGCTCGCACATCGGAGGTTCGCGCAGCATCGGAGCGAAGTGACGAGCATCCGCATCGAAGGCAGCAGCGGAGGCCTGGGAGAACGGTAAACCGCCCTGAAGCAACCACGTGCTGCCACGTGGCATCTCCGCCCATGTAGAGGCCGCCGTCGAGTCGAACTCGACGAGGGCATTGTCGAGTCGAACTCGACAATGGCCCGGGGTCATCATTGAGTCGGACTCGACAATGGGCCGGGGTCATCGTCGAGTCGGACTCGACAATGGCCTGTGTTCATCGTAGAGTCGAACTCGACAATGGCCCGGGGTCACCGTCCAGTCGGACTCGACATCCTGTGGTCATCGTCGAGTCGAACTCGACAATGGCCCGGGGTCATTGTCAAAGCGAACTCGACAATGGACCGGGGTCGTCGTCGAGTCGGACTCGACAATGACCACAGGCCATTGTCGAGTCGAACTCGACAATGGCCTGTGGTAAACGTCGAAGCGAAATCGACAATGGCCCGGGGTCGTCGTCGTGCCGGACTCGACAATGGCCTTTGGTCATTGTCGAATCGAACTCGATAATGGCCCGGTGACGTCGTCGAGATGGACTCGACAATGGCCTGTGGTCATTATCCAGTCGGGAACGACAAAGGACACGAGTTATTGTAGAGATGGAATACATGACGGCCTGGGGTCACCGCCGAGTAGGATTCGACAATGGCCAGGTCGTCGCCATCAGTCGTCGAGTCGAAAACGACGGCAGGGAAGCGCCAAAGCCTCCGGCCACAGGGCGTCGTCGATTTTGTCTCGGCATTGTCGATTCCGACACGACGATGAACCCAGGCCGTCGAGTGGAACTCGACGGTGGAACAGCGCCAAGTCATACGACCGACGTCGAGTCGAACTCGACAAATGCCCAGGGCCGTTGTCGAGTTCGACTCGATGACCACAGTCCGTTCTCGAGCTCGACTCGACAATGGCCATATGACATGCCGCTGCCGATTTGTTGGACTCGATGGCCCCATGCTGGCCGCTGTCGAGTTCTACTCGACGACGGCTTGCTGGCTATTGTCGAGTACGACTCGACAGTGGCAAGCCGGCTGGCGTCGAAACAAGCTTTACGAACTCGTCCGCCGGCAAGAGCCAAGGCCTCTGGCCATCCGTTTGAGCTCCTCGATTGTCCGTCATCGGCCTCGTCGCGAGGAATGCGACGATGGATAGCCGCCGATGAAATTTGTCGTTCTGTGTGTTTTCTCCTTCTGTTTTGGGAATTCGCAATGCCTGGTTGTTGTGTGTAACTGCGATGGCTCCTCGGTGTGTGAGCGCGTTCGACCTTAGCAATGGCTCCCTGTTGTGGTCGTCAATCGTCTGTGTGTGTAGGATGTTTGCGATGGCTCACCACTTCGATTACTCGTTCCCTTTGAATGCTAGCGCAAGGTACCTGCGTGGTTCAAGGCGGGAGACAACTATACTTGGGGCCCGTAGAGAAGACTTCGACACGGACCCATGGATGAGCGTTATGCCCTGGCTTGAAAAGCCCTTCGATGCATGGTCCAAATTGGACTGGGAGAACACAATGAAAGACTGCCCTTGGGCATCTGATTATCGACTAGCATCCAGCCAGGAATGGGGGACATTCATCTTCCTCGACCACATCCTCGTGACGAAACACACGCCGATGTTGTCTGCGGCATTTCGTACCAGAGACCGGTCTTTGTGGTTGACTGCGCACAACGTGTCGTGTCCACCGCGATTGTGGGGACCGTCGATGAAGATGGAGTTGCTGAACTGCACGAAACAGAACCAGTTTCTAGAGGAATATCCCCTTCCTTTCCAGGACAACTTGACGGGGAGTGTATCGTACTTCTGCGTACATGTTGATCTCTGTCGTTTCTCTTTCGCTAGGGTTCTTTGTGTTTCGGTAAGAAATAGAAGTAAGACTTCTGCGGAAGCAAGTATTTACGTGTCCAGGAACGAGCTCATCGTTGACGGGGACTCGATTATGTTAACGCATGGTTGGAGGAACGGTAGGTTTGACGTGAAACTGGCGGGGCAGGTCGATACACCCCAGCATTGGAAGGAGGTCGAGGAGTACGTGAAGGTCATTAGAGACGCCATCGGTCGAACTTTAGCGAGATCATGTGGTTTCGTCCGTGCACGATACGTGTCTTGCTTCTCATCCACTGCAACCCTGTGCAGTCCACAGCTCCTGACGTACGGTTCATCCCTGAACGCCGTGTACAGTTTCGGGGCGAAAGGATAGGCGAGGTCGAGGGGGAGGTCATGGGAGATGAACAGTGTAGGACATGTCAGCTATTCAGTTGTTCAGCAAAAGTGACACCTGAGACTGTGTATGCGTGCGAGCATTGAGTTTGATGTGAGCTTGTCGACGCCAGTTTAACCTCTCTCTCTCTTTCACTCTCTTATGTGTGCGTGTGTGTTTAGTGATCGGTGGAGCGTACTGTTAGTCGCTCGTTGCGGGTGCCGGTTGCCTGCCTTGCCAATTGAATGCCTCGAATTGATGATGGATGTAGGCTTCCAATTGATGTGCCTTGATTGGTGTGCCTTGTTCGTGACGCCGCTTCCTATTCAGCGAAAGATGAACAGTGTGAGAAATGTGGGCCATTCAGCAACAGTGTGGACTGAGACTGTATGTGTTATGAAAGCAACGGGTTTGATGTGAAATTGTCGATGCCGGGTTTCGATCCTTCTGCTTTGTTTGATATGACTTTTAGCTACGCCGCTCCGGTGTTCTGTTTGTCTGCTTTTGGATATGCCGTCCCGTTCCCGTGTTCTGTTTGCCAGCCCGGTCGTGTCGAACTGTCACATTGGCCCCCCACGTTTGAGTCGAACTCGATCGAGTCGACCTCCATCGAGTCTATCTCGATCGAGTCGAACACGATCGAGTCGAACACGATCGCCTGGGCTCACGATCGGATCCAACACGATTGTCTGGACTCACGATCGTCTGTGCTCACGATCGCCTGGACTCACGATCATGTCCGACTCGGTTATGATCGACTGGATGTGGACTCACGATCGTCTGTACTCACGATCGCCTGTACTCACGATCGTGTCCAACACGATCCAACACAAATCGACCTCCATCGTGGCTTATCGTGTTCGACTCGATCGTGTCCGACTCGATCGCGTTCGACTCAATCGTGTTCGACTCGATCGAGTCGAGCACGATCAAGTCGAGCACGATCGTGTCGAACTCGATCGAGTCGAACACGATCGCATGGACTCACGATCGACTCGAAAACGATCGAGTCGAACACGATCGAGTGGAACACGATCGAGTCGATCATGATCGAGTCGAACACGATCGAGTCGAACACGGTCGAGTCGTGCACGATCGAGTCTAACACGATCGAGTCGAACGCGATCAAGTCTGTCATAATCGAGTTGGACACGATCGAGTCGAACACGATAAGCCTGGATTCACTATCGAGTCGAACACGATCGAGCTGGCCTGTCACTCTCGCGCCGAACGAGATCGTGTTGACCACGGACACGATCACGATCGAGTTGAACACAATCGTGGATGCCTCATCACGAAGGAGATGCTGCCTTATCACTATCTGGAACTTTTCTGCTCCTCGTGCCATGCCAACGTTGTGCGGCCTTCTGATTTTTTGCTTCGCGGTGATGTGTTGTGTTGCTTTCAGATTAGGCAACGCTACAAAAGATGGAAGGAGAGGGGAAGGCAAGTAAACGACGAGCAAGTAAGAATTCAGGGAGCATGGAACAATCTCCGAAAAAATCGAAGGGGACGCCGACCGCTGGGGTTGGGAGTCTGGAGGCAACGGGGTCTAAGCGGCAACGCACCCCGGTTTCGAGGAGTGCACCTTCCACGGACACTCCGTCGACTCGTGTTCGGGGCTCTAGACCGGATAAGGCTATGTTGATGACTGGCGGGCCTGCGGGTCAGGAACGTGTGCCTGGTCCACAACTGGGGAGATCTGCAATGGAGGTTATGCCTGGACGCAAACCGTCTGGAGAACGTAAACCGTTTGGCGCTACAAAACATGGAAGGAGAGGGGAAGGCAAGTAAACGATGAGCAAGTAAGAATTCAGGGAGCATGGAACAATCTCCGAAAAAACCGAAGGGGACGCCGACCGCTGGGGTTGGGAGTCTGGAGGCAACGGGGTCTAAGCGACAACGCACCCCAGTTTCGAGGAGTGCACCTTCCACGGGCACTCCGTCGACTCGTGTTCGGGGCTCTGGACCGGATAAGGCTGTGTTGATGACTGGCGGGCCTGCGGTCAGGAACGTGTGCCTGGTCCACAGCAGGGGAGATCTGCAGTGGAGGTTATGCCCGGACGCAAACCGTCTGGGGAACGTAAACCGTCTGGCGAACATAAACCGTCTGGTGAAACGACTGCCGCGGGTCGGCGAGACGATATCCCCGTGATTGACCACAAGGACAAGTTCTGGATGCTGGACTGGGTGGGGGAGACCGGACAACCATCGAGTGGCCTTGTTCTATACGTGGTCATCAAATAAAATATTGTGCCGGTTGGCGGCCTGGTGAGGTGGATTGGGCAAAATGTGCCGTTTGCAACTTTCGAGTTGACGATGGTCCTGAATGGAAGAGGGGAAAAAATACCAAACATTAAACACGTCGCTCTTCGATGGGCCAAACACGCGGGGTTTGGAAAGTCGTTGGTTGATGTGTTCAACCCACCAGGGACATTGGAAGTGAAGTTGCCTAACCTCGTTGACGTCCTCGGGTTCTTCGACAGTAATGTGATCGTGGGCAGAGAGTCGGTTGTGCATCCAGAGGACTGCATATCAAAGCCTAAATCCGTGCTTTCGAGAACTGTGGAGACAGGGCCTTCGATCACGATCCGCGATACGCCGCCTGGTCCGAAAGCTGGGCAGATAGGAGAGAAGGGTCCGTGCCGCAGACTGGTCATACCGTCAGCCCCTATGAAGACCAGGCCAACGACGACCAAAACACCAGTTGCCTTGGGCAGCCGATCTCGCTATGATGTGGCCACCAAGGGACATCTCCCCTTGGTGGGCCAGCAGCGCTATGACTATATGTACCGGGCCGCGTAGAGGAAGTCCATGAGTATTTTGAAGATGAGGATGAAGAAAACAGCGAGAAATATTCGGAACGAGCAGGAGGACAGGAACAGTATGTTGCGGGTGTCGGCGGGATGACAAGGCATCCAGGAGAGACAAGTAAAGTGGTTGGACAGGATGAAGACAGTGAACACACTATGAGCGCATCGGGTGGGGAGGTTGGTCCGGCAGGAGGATATGGGAGCAGCTACGAAGGATACGAGGGGGATGTGCACGCGATAGTGGTTGTGGCTGGGCATACAGATGCTGCAGGGCTCGCTGAGCGAAAGAGGAAGCACAGGCGCGAGAGGAAAAGTCTTATGGATAATAAACGGAGTAGGCAAGAAGCGGGTGAAAAAAGACGATTGAAAATAATGCCCGTGGATGAGGCGTTCCAGCGAACGCGGGAGACTGAGGCAGCCGCGAAGAAAAAGCAGCAGCCAAAGAAAAGAAAGGCAAAAGGTGGTGTTATGGAAAAATCTTCTGTTTTTCCAGCCGAACAACCACAATCGGATGAAGAGGCCAAAGGCAAGACAGTTACTAGGCCGCCAAGTTTGCGAAATGTGCCATCAGTGACTTCTTCTGATGTTCTTAGCAAAGGCTTTTTCCTTGAGTTGGACGAGCGTGGGAACCAATGTCCAGACATGGAATTCATTTCTGTCCAGTTCGACAAAATTTTGGATATCCCGGACGGGGAATTCAGATATAATCAACGCTATCTTGTGTAGCAGACGGTTGACGACATTTATGACGTAATGATTGCGTCGGGTGAGGCTGCTATGAGAGAGAGAATGACTGGAGCTGCTGGTGTGAATGTCTGTACGTTGTATGAGAAGCCTCTCCTTTTGTTGGTTGCCCTCCATGATACATTGCATACTGACGCTTCATGGAGGATTGTGAGAGCAAGGAGGGTCCTGCCCGATGATTTCGTTCTCGAATCTGTGAGCAAGTACTACTACTACCCTCTCAGCGGTCAGCATAACGTGGCGGCGGCAAGAAGGTGTTTTGTTGAACGCCTTGACATTGCACAAGAGCTCCGATTGGATCGCTGGACTGCGATGCCTGTTTATTATCCGGATAAGAGCATGGACAATTACGGCACGCTGAACACTTTCTAGAACTCCAAGGACAAATGGAATACCCCACCGCACCAGAACGTGGTCGTCCAGAACATACGGAAGTTGTGGCACGAGTCGAACTGTCCTGAAGCCAAAGGCGGCTCAGCTGCAGAAGTGAAAAATGCAGAGTATAGAAAGTTTGCGGGAGAGGCTCTTCGTTTGACCGGGATTCGTAATTTGATTGACATGTCCCTTACTACTCAGTGAAGCGGCCAGTGGTCTGACGCCCTCGGGCCCTACATGTTGTTGGCAAGGGCAACAGATGACGTTTTCGAAAAGGTGAAACAAGTGTACGCTGCTTGGGAAGCTGGACAATTGTCGGGGAGAGATGCTGTGAAGCCTGCTACTAAACAAGGTGAATCAAGGAAGGCACCGAGGGCTGGACCCGGATTTGAGTTAAAAGGTGGAGTTAGGTATCCGGTTCACTGGGTTCAGGGTACCAAAGGACCTGGTTACCTCGTGGCTGTGCACGATCCGGATATCAGAGCGTGGAAGCCTTTTTCAGCGCTTGGGAGGCGTGAGCGGCTGCAACTGTTGCGAGACATTCTCACAGGCAGTGTGATAC